GGGGGCAGCCAAGACACTAGGAAGGGAAATTCTGTTCTGTCCTATTCTATTTGTTTAAGCATTCTCATTTATATTCATTCTCTCTCTCTCTCTCTCTCCCTCCCTCCCTCCCTCTCCCTCTCCCTCTCCCTCCCTCCCTCTCTCCATCTCTCCCTCTCTGCCCCCTACCCCCGCAGTAGATAATCTGGGAAAGTACAAAATCCTTAGACCCTAGTGGTAGTTGGACAGCGTGATGTGATGGCTAAAAACCTGGCCTCTGCATTCGGAGTCCAGGTTCAAATCCCAGGCTTACCACTTATGGCATTTGATCTCGTGGCAAGTTTCTTTATGTGTAAAAATCTTCTGCAGGGTGGGTTGGAGGAAACTGAGCTCCAGCATCCTCCTGTGAAAAATGAGACAATAATAGCAGCTACCACAAATGATTGCTGGCTGCATTAGAGACTCAAAATGAGCACAAAATCCCTAGCCTTAGTGCTTGGTGCACAGTGTGGGCTTAGCAAACATCAGCTGTTGGGGAGAGCTACAGTGTCTTAACATGCTGAAGAAAGATAGCGACGTCTACCTTTCAGAACTGTTGCAAAGGCAAGAGGGAGAAAAAGCTTGGAAAGCTAAGATAATGCATTTGTCAAGCCAAATTTCCATGGCTTAGGAGAGATTTCTGGAACATGTCCGAGTCTACTGTGTGTAAATAAGGAGGCAAGGGAGGAGAGGTCTCTGTCCTTGTAGTCACCTGGGGACTTGGCTCCTTTCCGTTAGAAACCCCAAAGTCCCCCATGGTATCTTCTGAATCCAGCCCAAGATGAGGGGCAAGAAAGAGCGTGAAGGATTAGGTAGGGAGTTTTATGGCTCAGGCCTGAAGGCAGTATGGCATGTTACTTCTGCCCACATAATAGTGATGTAACAGCGAGGAGAACTCAGTCACAGGGACACGTGCAAGGGAAGCTGGGAAATGTAGTCTCTGCATACACAAAACAGTTTGATGGACAGCTTGCCAGTGTGCCATAGTGTCCAGTGAGTGGTGATCATTATTGGGACCAGTGTTCTGAGCTTCACTGGGAGGGATGGGTGTCCCTAATTATGCAGTTTTACTGAGCCTGAGAGAAGGGCCAGTTCTTATCCCTCTGCCCCCAGAATGACATCTTCATCTCATCTCTGAGCCATCCCTAACCATCATGACGACCGAAGGTCTCCATCATTAGTGGTGAACCAAACATCCAGAAGGTGGCTTTTTCTTCCTTCCTGTTCTTCCTTTCTATTGTTACAAAATGAAACACCCTGAAATTTAGTGGCTTAAGACATTAATACTTTAATATTCATTTAGTATCATCTCTCACCATGTTTTGTGGGTCAAGAATCCAAAAGTAGTTGAGCTGGATGGTTCTGACTCAAAGTTTCTCATAAGTTACCGCAGGGTGGGGGCTGGACTGGAGCCTCAAAGGTGTGTGTCTGACCTCTGGGCTGGAAAGGCTCCAACAGCTAGGGCTGGGACTCTGCGTGCAGCTTTCCTGTACCCCCACCACTGTCTCTGATTCCTGTCTTTACCTGGCCTCACCTGCCAGAGACATTGTGCATGTGAGGCAGAGACAGAGAGAAAGGGAGAGAAGGGAGAGGGAGAGGGAGGGAGGAAGGGAGGGAGAGAGAGAACAGCACCATTTCTGCCACAATCCTCTCTGTCCAAGCATCCTCAAAAGCTGGCTCAAGTTCAAGGGAAATGGACACCCACTCTACACCTCTTGATGGTGAGTGTGTCAGAGGAGAAATTGCAGCTGTATTTTAAAACCACAACTTCCTCTGCCCATGATTATAGACACTGTAATTGTTCCCCATCCAGAGTCAGCCTACTGCCTCCTGATGTTCACAATTCATCCTTGGCTGACATGTACAGATTCCATCAATGGGCGAGGTTGGAGATCAAGAAATCTGGTGAAAGTCCCAAAGAGCCTGGGCTGGGGGTTGGAGAACTGGGGTCAACGGACAGCTCCTCCTCAGTGTCAGTTTAATTCTCGTGTTTAGTCAAGTTCCTCACTGTGCTGTGGTCTGGAAGTAGATGGGTACAGCAAGCAAGGAGGCTCAGAGAAGTTAAGTGAGTGACTCAAACTCAAACAGCTGGGCTGGGGGTAGCAGGTGGGACAGAGATTGTAATCTGAGCCTGACTCCCCTCAAAACGTGTGCTTCCTGGCTTCTGCCTAAGTTCTGGCCTCTGGCCTGGAGTTCCATAGTCCCCTAAGCTTCTGACTCATGGCAGCATGTGTTTTGGGGGGCCAGATGAAGGCCAAGAGCCTTCCTCTCCATGTGGCCCCCTGTAGCACTCTGTACCCAGATACCATGGGAATAGGTGCCAAAGAAATGCTGCAATGGAGAGGAAGCAGAAGGGCCCCTCTTGGTGCTATCACTACAGTCACAAATGTACCCGTTTTCACCTGTATGTGAGGAGACTCTTGGAAGATTCATTTGTAGACACAAAGTTGGGATAAGGTCAACGTCCCTTTGTGAGCTGAGATTTCAGAACGGAGGGGGGGAGGGATGAAGGTTAACTAATTACAGTACTCTTGCCTCCTGTGACTGAGTATTTAACATGCTGGATAAGTACCTCATTTAACTCTCATAAAAACATGAAGTAAACAGGGCATGGTGGTGCACATCTGTCATCCCAACACTGTAGTGGCTGAGGAAGGAGGATCAGGAGTTTGCCCTCAGCTGGGCTAATAGTGAGATCCTGTCTCAAAAAACCAACCAAACAAACAAAGCCCTTGAGGTCGATGTTGACATCCTTATGTTGACTGGAGAAACCGATTCTCAGAAATGAGGCCACTCAGTAGGTGGCTGGGCAGACAAGGAAACTTAGGACTGGTTGCATCTGAAGTTCCAGCTCCTGAGCACTGTGTGCTGTGCCTGGGAACCCTCAGCACACCCTACCCTGCCTCGTCTTGGACATTTCAGAAGCACGCTCTGTGTCACTTCACATCACAGATATTCATAGGAAATACAGGGTGCTGTGGCCACTAGCTCAAGCTGCTGCAATTCTACACTGAAACCCATAGCTGCATTGTCTGGCCACAGTTGTCAGGGTCCCCAGCCACAATTCCAACTTCCAGGGGAGGTGAAAAGAGCAGGTGGGGAACTCGGGAGGGCACAGGTTCCTGGCTGTCCATGATGTCTAACCGTTGCCTGGGATCCTTCTGCATTCCCTTCCTGCCCCTGACTCTTACCACACCAACCCTCTGTGAAGTCTGACAAGGCAAAACCACTGCTTTGCTCTGTCACAGGCTGGTTAGGAGACAGCATGGATGGTGGTTCTAGGTGATGGAAAACTGGATGAGGAAGGGAGGTCACTCAAGGACTCGCTTGATTTTAATTTCAGAGTTATTTCCATGATATCAGGAGAAGAACCCATCTTCCAACTCACTTGTTCCTCTTACAAAGTGCTAGAATCTGAGCAATGTCCCTGCTCCTCTTATGCAAATGTGTAACTCATGTCTTTCTGGGGCATGGCTGCTTTCTGTCCTCATGGAGGAGGCATTTGGATGGGAATCTGTCCCTGGAAAAGTGCCTCTTTTCCAGTGCAGCCACGTGTCCTGTCATGATACCTAGGGCGATGGTGGACAACATGTATGGCAGTGACCCTATAGGAGAATACTGCCTTGAGATATCATGCTGGCCACCTTTGATTGATTGAGTATACTCCAGGATGTTTGCACAATGATGGAATCACATAATGACACACCAAGTGACATATGACAGTACATAGGTGTTCTAGAAGAAAGCCAGTTTACAGACACCATATAGAAACACCAGGAGCAAAAACCCTGAAAAGTTTCTCATAAAGAAGCCATAAAAGTATGAGTTTGTCCAATATCCAATATTGAGAATTATAATGTTATTCACGTTTTCTTTTTTATATCCAGTAGTCTTAGATGACTTTAGTGAGCACAGTGTCTGTATAGCTGCTCCCAGGTTCATTCTTAATTTCAATAATCCTTTTGCCTTGGTTTTCCACCACCCATGGTGCCCCCTCCACCTTGACCCTGATGGTACACCAGAAGGCTTTCAGTTCTTCTGTGGCAAATTCTCCTTTCGGGGGTGTGGGGGTGGGGGTGATTTTCAGGAGTGTAAGCTTACAAGTTGAGGCAGGAGTAATCCACGTAGCTGTCTTTTCATAATTACGAGTATCACTTTCCTTCACTGCGTGCCAAGCGTGGACTCCATGTTGGGCTATGAAGTTGAATGAGATGTAGCCTTTGCCCTTGAGGAATTTGAAAACTATTTAGGAAATGGACAGGTTTTGTTTGGTCTCTTGTGCAAGGTTGTGTTGTCTTTTGGTCTCTAGCTTTGTAGCAAAATCAAAAAAGATTTCTTTTGGTTTCAAGTGACAGAAAATTCAATTCAAATTGGTTCAACCCAAAATGTGAAGGAGATAGGATAGATTAGCTCATCCACATATAGAAATGTCTGACTTCAGACATGAGTACATCCGGGCTCATAGGGGAGCATGAAGAATGTCTCTTTCACCTGCTGGTTCTGGTCTCTGTCTTAGTGGTGGTGAAATGGCTTCTGGCAACCAAAACAGTTTAGCAGTACCAGAAGAGAGAGAACTACTGTCAGTTTGCATCACTGAATCACATATGCATTCCTGAAACAGTTATGGCCAGTTAAGCCTGGCCTGGACCAGGTGCCCATCCAAGGAATCTTGGGAACATGGAGGGGGGCCAGTCCACTTGTATAACCTAATTTGAAAGTTGGGAATGGGGCTCATTGAAAGCCAAGTGTGTTAATTGAAGGGGCCATAGTTAAAATATACCAGTGTTCTACTTTGTACATAAGGAATAGCTTATCCCGTATGGTCTCCTTAAGGTTACGTGGGCATGCTCAAGGGATGTCATTGGTCACTGGGATGGCCTTTTCCTTGACAGGCAGCATCCCTCCAGTGCAAGCCAGGCTGGGTTGAATAGACCATAAGTGCTACCCGCAAAAACTTGACCTGACTTTGCTCTCCATTGCAGTGACCTGGACAGAAATAACATCACCAGAATCACCAAGATGGACTTTGCTGGGCTCAAGAACCTCCGAGTCTTGTAAGTAGCAGATGACTGTCCAGTGTTTTATTCATCTTCAGCTCTTCAGCCTCATGAAAATGTTCGGGTGCCTGACATCCCAAGCGTCAGGCAGCAGGATTTCACTGTTCTGCAGCAGCAAGCCCTTCATTACTGTGCCCAAGTGCTCACAGGTGTCATGTTCTGTGTCTGGATACTACTGGCTGGGCAAGATTGATGGAAGAACTCAGTTCCAGTGACAGGGAAAACAGAAGGCTAGGAACGAATAAATCAACATGCCTAGCTTCCAGGGTGACAGCAATGTCAGGTTGGCCAGCTATGCTTCCCTTCCATAGAGATTATAATTTCTTCTCCAGCTTGTGCACTAAAAGAGCAATCAGGACAAAAGTTATTTATCTTGTTGCTTAGTGGAACGGAGGGGAAGAGGGAGGGAGAGGATCGGGCAGGGTCAGAGCTCTTGCTGAACATTCACAGCTGCTCAAGACAGGTAGCAAAATTTGAGATGGCCATTGATGGAGTAGAAAGAAGCAAGGAATATTAGGTTTCTTTGCTGAATATTGAACATTTTCACCTGTCCTTAGGTGTGAGTGGTAAGAAGCTTCCCAAATCCTTGTCCTCTAAAAAGCCTAAGACACTCAGAGGTACAAGGGTGCCTCCTTCTTTACTGTCGTTGGCTTTGGCCCATTGTGTGGACCCAGACCTGGGTAGTTAGACCCCTGCCTTGATGCTGTTCATGTCACAGGCTCTTCTCTGGCATATCTTTGCTAGAAGTGACAGCTAAATCATTGGCACCTGAAGCCACCTCGTTCTTTTGACTAGTAGCTTTCTAGAACAGAATGAATTTCGTGCTTGGGCCAGGAAGTATCATATCAGATGATGGTTGATATGGGATTAACTCCCATGTAACTCTGGGCAAATTCCCTATACCTCTTTGGGTCTCCAGTTCCTGATTGCAATACAGGGAACTCTTATTACAAATAGGGTTACAAATAGAGTGTTTTATGGTTTCAACACTTCCACAAACAGCCTTCCATTAGCTTCTCTACCAGTTGTGAAGCAGTACTTCTAGAACATGCCTCTCTGGATTGAGAAGCAGTAGTAACACTGATGATGAGGACAACCAGTGGTACTTCAGATGGACCAAACTTGGTGTCCTGCAGTGGTGATGTGGAGTTGCAGGAAACAGAGCACAGATGGGTGGAAGAGGCTCAGCTCCACATAGTAGGTAACTTCAGGAGTTGGAACTGGAACCTGAACCGTGCGCCTTCTTTAGAAAGCCAATACCAGCAGTGTTCCCGGTTGACAGTGCAAAGGGGCTGGGGGTGTAGCTCAGTGGCAGCACATGGTTAGCATGCATAGGACCCTGGGTCCAATCCCCAGCCCAGAAAGGAAAAGGAGGGAAGGAAAGGGACAAAAATGAGAATGGAAGAGAATGAGAAGGGGAGGGAAGGGAAGGGGGAGAAGAGGAGGAGGAAGGGAAGGGGATGGAGAAGAAGGGAGAGAAAGAGGAAGAGGAAGAGAAGGAGGAGGGGGAAGAGGAAGAAAAGAGGAGGAGGAAGAGGAGATAGGAAAGGCAGCACTGGTGTGTGGGGCTTGCCTGGGCATTCCTGAGCTTTCCTGAGCACCCTTGTGCAGGCATGCAGGGGTCCGGGTGCTGGGCTTCCAGCTACTAGATGCCCCCCTACCCCTATGTGTTCTCCTGTCATTGGTCTTGAATGCTTTCCTCTCATCATCCTCAAAGGGGTGCCAAGTCTCTTGCCCTGAGCAGCTGTATGTCTGTCTAGTGGTTCATTTTCTAACCAAGTCAAAAACAACCCTCTGGTTTTCTTACTGTTGCATCAGAAAGACTAATAAAAATTCCAACTTCCATATCTGCTTTCTGCAAATAGAAGGTTTAAAATAATCATAAAAGATCACAGTAATATCTTCTGCCTAGAGTACCACATCCCTTTGGCTACACTTTATCTTTTTAGTTAATTGGTACATTCTTCTTATTTTGATAAGCAATGCCAAAAAGGCTTTACCCCTACTTTATAGACTATTAATACACTTTGTTTAGTTATCTTCCTTATCAGCTCAAAGACAATCCCATTCAAGTGACCCTTTATTCCTGTCAAAGAGTCTGCTCGGTGGAATAGCTGAAATGGTTTCTAACACAATAAAACATCCAGATATTTTAAACAGATTTTCCTCCATCTATTCTTCTTAGCTGAGTGACCTAGACAACTACCTTTTTTTGAAAAGCCTTCATCACATTTTGGCATATCCCCATATCTGTTTCTTATTTACAATTTATAGTGAATCCAGAAGACGTGATAGTCTTGATGGTTCGAGCTTGCCACCCATTTCCTTACAGAACGGCCAATATGGTACATGTGAGCAGGCAAAGGCAGATGGAGCAGGGATTAGTATCTCATCCCAGTGCAGTTTTCCCTCAATGCATGTATCCAAGGAGGAGGTGTAAGAGTGGCCCATGGTAGTCATTTCTCCCATCGGGTGGGAGTAGGGAAAGGTCCCGTCTGGTGGTATCAATTACATCCCTTTTCTCAGTAATCTATTTAAGGACTCTACTATGCTCACAATATGGGAGCCAGCTTTATCCCAAATGGGGTTAATAAAAGAGTTAACCCCATGCTGCAGCCATCATCACACAGGGGCCATTTCCGATTCTGATTCAGTGCTAAAACTAAAAAACTAACAATGCCGAAGAGTCATAAATGATTAGTCTGTGTCCCCCTAACTGAGAACAGACTCCAGCCATGGACAGCCCTTCTAGGAATCCAGCCCTACCGGGATGCTGTGCCCTGAATCTGGTCCCTAATCTGGCTTTCATGCATGTCCTTGGCTCGTGAGAGTTTCATGGCTTATCCATTCACTGATTCTTTTATTCATAAATGGCCATTGCTCAGTGAGCCTTTAAGGGCCAGGTGCAAGGCTGGACTCGACCGATCTATCTTTGGGAGAGAGATGAAACTCATATAGGGGAAGTGAGGCAAACTGAATAAAGAATTATTTACAAAGTTCTACTCAGTGTAAGAAAATCCAACAAGAGATGGTTCCATGTCCCAGGCTGGTGACAACAGGGAGCCACTACGCCCCTGGGCCTTGAGGAGCAGTGAGAGGAGGTGGTTATCAGAGCACAGCAAAGCAGGGACTGCCAGGGACCTCTTGGCAGCATCTGTGGTCTTAGGTAAAGGGACACAGCCAAGCTGATGTGACCTGGCAGGGAGGTAGGAGTATAAACCTCCCAACCTCACTGTCTTCTTCCTGCCTGCCCTGGTCATTCTCATTGGCTGAATCCAATAGGAAGCAGAGGTCAAAGAAGCTTCTTGAAGAAGCCAATGAAAATCAGCCTTCCAGGGCCTGAGCAAGGGGGAGGAAGGGCTGAAATATCCAGGGCATGTTTTTATACTTTCCTCTTTCTAAAAGAAGCTATAGTGTCAGATAAATGAGTGTAGAGCTAAGAGATGCATCCTAAGAGATTGCAGTTGGCTTCTTCTGAAATCTCAAGGTGAGATGACACTCAGCCTCCCTAGAATTATTCCTCATTCTAATTGGGAAATGACAGCAAGCTCTGTGGTTGGTTGATTGATTGATCGATTGATTGATTGATTGATCGATTGATTGATTGATCGATCGATCGATTGATTGATAGTGAAAACCGGATTGAGCTAACTCCTAATCATTAGCCTTGAACTTGCTCTCTGTTTAGCAAGATGTGCTAGTGTGAGTCTTTGGACTTCCAGGGCCTCCCTGTCACATGGCAGGAGGAAAGGGAAGGGAAGGGAAGGAGGGAAGGGAAAGGAAGGGAAGGGAAGGAGGAAAAGGAAGAGAAGGAGGGAAGGGAAGGGATTTATTGAGCCTCTAATCCTACTTTGGGTCTTGGGCTTGAGGATTTAATTACTTTATCCCTTTTTTTCCCCTCAGAAGAGCTTCTGTAATGTTTGATTTTTCGCTGTTTTACAAAAGAGGATACTGAGTCTCAGACAGGTCAGTTAGCTAGCTCAATGCAATGCCATCAGTAGGACAGGGATTCTAAAGTACCTTGGCAAGCGCTCCAGCCTGGAGGCTGCAGGGTCCACCCCAGTGAGATCTGGGAGTCTTCGGGGGCAAATTCAGCCATTTCCAAGTCTCCTTAAGCGAGCAGCCCAGGAGGGACCAGCCTGCAAAGGCCAGAAGTTACATCAGTGCAAGGCTGCAGTGGATGAGGACTGAGGCAAACAGGCTGATTCCTGACTGGCTAGTTGATATTTGAAAACGTGAATATAAAATACCCTCGACCCCTAGGCGTGCTGACAGCATTTTCCTTAATGTGAAATCAGCACACCCTGTGCCCAGAGGTTTTTCTTTTTTTTTCAGCTTTTCATTCATTCATTAGGCAGTGAGTTAGGGGGTCACTGAGCTAGGCCACTGTATTGGGGGTGGGAGTGTGACAAAGAGCAGAAGTCCTGCCTTCTTGCCCCTTAAGCAAAGTGGGGATGAGCTGGAAATTAAACACAAAGGCCAAGCACTAAAGCCTAAGAGGAGCAGGAAGTTAGGGCACAGGTAAGAGGTGGGACCATCATGGAAGGCTCATTTTGAAATGAAGATATCCTTTCCCAAGGCTTTCCTTCCTCCCTTCCTGCCATTCCCGTGGAACCCCTGGCCCTTCCAAAGCAGCACTGTTCATCACACAGCTGTGGCTCCTGAAATCCCATGCAGCCACCAAGTGCTATCTGCGTCATTTCCCAGCCAAGGGTCATCCCCATCCATTCAGCTTCCTGCTTCCCTCCCATACTGTTTAGCTAATCTACCGTAAGCTGCCTTTTTTTTTAACTTAAGGAAACAAATATTTCATTGTATGCTCAATTCTTAGGGTATGTCACACACATGAATGGAAGTCACTTAAGCAGATTATGTAGGATTTGTAGTCACCTGCTGGAAGGACTTGGAGAGAGAGCTAAACCTATGGCTAGGGAAAGAAGATCCAACTTCCATGGCCACCATCGTGAGGTTGAGATGAGGCAGACTCCGGGCGAGAGAATTCCTGGGACGAGGCTGGATGTCTTTGCCGCAGCCAGCTATCTGGCAGTAGCTTCACCCTGTCTACTAGGGTGAACAGAGAAGGCCTTTTTCAATGAAGTATTTTTGAATCCTTGGAGGAGGGCGCCCCGAGGGAGAGATGCAGAATCTGTGTGGTTTTTCTAAGGAACTGCTTTTACCTCCTCCTTTTCTGTGCAACACTCTGCAGCGCTTAGGGGCACATTTGCTGGGAACATTCTTAAAATAGAGGCAGACAAACCAATCTGTCAGGTAGAAGTGTGCAGGCGGTGAAGCCCTGGTTACCGTGACACCAGGCTGGGATGTGACTCTTGTCCCACCGGACTGATCCTGGTTGGAAGGGCCCAGAGGGTTCTGGGAGGGGCTGCATGGCCTGAAGCCTCACATGAGGGTCCCTATCACAGCTTTCACCTTGACCTTGCTGCCTCTTTGGTTCTAGGCACCTGGAAGACAACCAGGTCAGCATCATCGAGAGAGGCGCCTTCCAGGACCTGAAGCAGCTGGAGCGATTGTAAGTAAAGCCGGTCTTACAAAGTGTTGGGGGGATAGTGTTTTGTTTTTTGTAAATCGGTCTTACGACCTTGTTAAAAACAAGTCTCTAGTGGTTAATGAAATGTTTGCGATTACATTTAAAGCTCTCTGACACATATTCCAGAGACATGAGATCCACTTAAATGCCTTTTTCTTGAAAAGATGCTGGTTGGCTTGTAAGGCTTGTTTCTCAGCTTCCCTGGCTTTTGGGTTGGTTCCCTCAGGCCTCAGCCCTCCCTGTCCCAGAGGGAGCCTTCAGTGCCTGTCCCCAGTGCCAGCACAGATTCTCCCTTCTCCTCTGCACCCCAGCCAGCTCCCACTCAGGGCGCTCCTCCCCAGACTCCTCACCACTCCCTCCTGGGAGGCAGGGAAGTGGGCGCAGCCTTCCCTGTGCCTGGTTCTCCTCCGATGAGTGTCAGCCTGCTTCTGGAAGCCCGCATATTTCCACGAGAGAACACATTGCCAGTGGTTTAAAAATAGATGACTGTTCTGACTGGATCAGAGGGTGGGAGCCTCCCTTTATTTCTCTGATGAGTGCTTTTGCAGAAAACTCAGGGGTCCCTGTAATGACGAGGGCTGCCCAGATGGTTGAGTGGGCAGCTTTACCTTTCCTCACTTAATCACATCTGTCAGCTCGTAACATCTGGATATTTGCTTTCTGCCCTCCGAGCAGGGACTCTCCCAGAGAGCCCTTAGTCACACTGGTGGGCGGCTCTCTTCAGTGCTTCCCTCTATATCCCTGTGGCCCTGACATTTCAGCCCCCTTCTTCTGCACCTGGGGGATGTGACTGCAGCAGTCCTCAGCTCCACCAGCTTACCTGTTCTATGGGCAAGTTTCGTTTACAGAGATGGACTTGGGTAAGGGGAGTGCTTGGCACCAGGCCACGTGGGAAGTGGGAGGACCTCATCTCATGTCAAGTGATGTCACCTAATGCAGTGCTTCACCTCAGCCAGGCGCTGGTGGCTCACGCCTGGAATCCTAGCTACTCAGGAGGCAGAGGTCAGGAGGGTCACTGTTCAAAGCCAGCCCCAGACAAATAGTTTGAGAGATCCTCCTCAAAAATACCCAACATAAATAAAGGGCTTGTGGAGTGGCTCAAGTGGCAGAGCACCTTGAGTTCAAACCCCAGTGTTGCCAGAAAAAAGAAAGCTTCACCCCTCATTGTCCTGTGTTCTGCTGCTCCCTCACCACCGTTCTCCTGCTGAGTCAGATCCCAGCATTTATTCTGCTGTCGTTGGATTGAAAATAATGAGGTTTCTTTCTTCTAAGGGAAAAATTATAAGGAATGCTGTCTTTGTTTACACTTTGATTTTGAGCTTTCCTAAAACTTTAATTCTCCTCCTTATGTAGACCAAAGAAAACAAAAGTGTTTGTTGAACAGGATTTCTCTGTATGAAATAACCATCATTTAAATGGACAGATAAATACAGAGTCCTTTGTGCAAAGGCTGCGTCTTGCTTAGTCTTCTGGTTAGAAGAGTAAATAAATCCCTAATTGGTTAATTTCATGGTTGTTGGAAGGAATTAATCAAATACCTTGGACCCACCAGGAGCTATGCCAGTGTTTTCCCTGTTTTCAGTTCTTTCATTCTTAGCAAACCCCTATGAGGTCATTACCCTCAGTTTGCAAATGCAGAAACAAAGGCCCAGGGAGATTAAGTGGAGTGATTGTCAAGGGGGGGGCAAGAGTCAGGCCGCATCTGTGGACATCAAAGGCCCCTTCCAGTGCTGCAGACACTCTATGAAGTGTGATTTTAGCAATGGCCTGCAAATAGCCTGTCACACACCCACTGAGCTCCAGGAAGTATCGGGAAATATTCTGGTGAAAGGTTTTGGTTTTTTTTGTTTGTTTGTTTGGTGAACAAGGAGAAATACCCTGCCTGTCTGGGGAACTCACAATTACAATTGCAGAGCAAATCTGGCTATTTCTCTTCTTTGGCACATTATGGGTGATGCTGGTGTCATACTAGATAAACCTTCAAATCTCAGTGACTTAGCAGAGTGGAAGTTACTTCTTCCTCATGTAAAACCCAATGTGGTGTTTCCCATAGGGGATAGGGCTTCTCTCCTCTGAGCAAAGACTCAGGTGCAGGCTTCTAACACCCTTGACCTTAGCTTCATTAAACCTCGGCTTCCCTTGTACCAGGGTTTGTCTGCACCAAGCCAGTGGCCAGGAAAACAGCACACAGCAGATCACGTCTGCTCTTGTGTCCTCTGGACCAGAACTCAGTCACCGCAGGGCAAGCTGGGAAGGGAAGTCAAGACTTAGGCCTGGAAAGGAGAAGACCAGCTGAGTGGATGACCAGCCAGTCTCTGGCTTCTATTGCAGTGAGCAGGGGAAGTACTTGGTCAGGAAGAAGGTGGAAAGAACAGGCACCTGGGCTATCATGACACCTTTCAGTGTCAGGAGTCCCGACTTTATTCTGGTTTCCTGTGTGTCACCCTGCCCCTAGCTGGAGAATGGAAAAACAATTAAAAAGCAGATAGCAAGTTGTGTTGTCTCTAGCTGTCCTGGCTCCCATTGCCTGTGTCTCTCTGCTTGGTAGTAGGTTACTCTTCATCGACCATATTCTGAAATACAGCCTAGAAATTACGTGGGTTTTGATCACTCATTTCCAGAGTATATACTTCCATTCTGAATGTTCGTTGTTGTTTTGTTCTTGTACGAAAGAGTAGGGGAGGGTGTGTTCCAGGTCTCAACACAGAATTTTCTTTCCTCTGTGAAAGGACCCTGCGCCATCTTGAGTAAGGTGCCCCTCCATTTTGGACTATTTGCTGCTGCTATAACAAGTTATCTGGGGCTGGGAACTTTATAAAGAGGTTTATTTACATAGCAGTTTTGGAGGCTGACAGTGAAGCTTGGGTGACTCCATCAATTCTGCCTCTGGCTAAATGTCACATTTTGGTGGATAACATCACAGCAGCAGCAGAAAGAGAGAGAAAGATCACATAGGGAGATAGGAATCCAGAGAGTAGAGGGCTGGTCTTTTTTTATAGCATCTTGCTGTCACTGACTCACTTCGTGAGACCAGAACGAACTCCTTATGAGGCTGATGCCCCTGTGACCCAAAACCTCCCACTGGTCCCTTCCCCTTAACACTGCCATATTGAGAGCTAGCTGAAATTAAACGTTTAATTAAAATATTTACCCATGAAAAGGCTCAGCTGCCTTCAGCAGTGAATTTTACCAGCATGCTAATCCAAGTAGGTGGGGAGAAGCAAGTGGCCGGTACTGAGGATGTGTAGGTGTCTTACCTGTGTGGAGAGGGAAGGGAACCGTACTTTCTGTGGCCCTGGGAATGGGATCCTTCAGTACCCATGTGTGGTCCTTGGTGAGATAGTGGTGAGTCTGAGACAGGGTGTCCACAGTGGGGCTTCTAGGGACAGTTCATGACAGCTACCAAGGTACCACGGTGTGATGGCCTTATCACCCTTCAAACTATCAAAGACAAGTCTCTTCTCCCCAAGGAAAAGCCCAGCACTGCCCTGAGGCTTCTTGAAACACTAGATCAGAAGGGGAATTGTAGGAATTGTAGCAGTGACAGAGAATTTCTTGAGAAAGTGTTAGATGTCACCCAAAGAGTCAGACCCTAGGAAACCCAAGGCTGCATTCCTCATAATTTTGTGAAAATAAGTCTGGAGGATAAAAAGCATCCCTTTCCTCCCCTTTCTCTTGAAACTACAGGGAAACTATGTTACTTAAGAAAGAAGCAGCCAATATTACAATAGAAGCTCACGTGAAATTGTTATCATTAGAAAACTAGAAAAGAATGCAAGACTTAGTATCCACCCTGGAAACACGAAAACATGCAAAATAGATACCACAAGGGCTGGCGGAGTGGTCAAGTGGTAGAGCACGTGCCTTTCAAGTGTGAGGACCTAAGATCAAACCCCAGCATTGCCAAAAAAAAAAAAAATAGATACCACAAAACACATGGCAGCTATGACAGAGAAGCTATTAAAAACAAGCCCTAAGAATTCAGATCTTGATGACAGCCTTACCACCCTGAGTAGGCACAGTCTCAGAAGCTAAGCAGGGTGGGGCCTGGTTAATAATTGGACCAGAAACCACCTTTGGAATACCAAATTAAGATCTTATAATTGTGTAAATTACAAATCAAAATTTTTAAAAACTCAGAAATCATATGATTAGAGAAAAGTAGGATCTGAAAGAAGGGGTAAGGAACCCGCAAAAGAATTTAGAAATAAGTCATTTCAAAATAAATATTGCCAATACAATACTGAGGAGGAACAGACGTGTAGAAATTACACTATCCAGTTTCAAGACTCAAGACTTACTATAAAGCCACAGTAATCAAGACAACATGGTATTGGTGGAGTAATGTACACATAAATCAATGGAATGGAATATCCCAGAAATAGACCCATGCAAGTAGAATTAACTGTCATTCTTCCTTCCTTCCTTTCTCTCTTTCCCTCCTTCCCTCCCTCCCTCCTTTCCTTCCTTCCTTCCTCCCTCCCTTCCTTCTTCCCTCTCTTTCTCTCCCTCCCTCCTTCCCTCCCTCCCTCCTTCTCTCTCTCTCTCTCTCTCTCTCTGTCTTTTTGGTGGTACTAGGGTTTGAACTCAGGGCCTCGTGCTTGTTAAGCAGGCACTCTACTGCATGAGCCATGTCCCCAGCCCTAATCAGCTGATTTTGGATGAAGTTGTAAAGACAACTTGAAACAAACAAATCTGTGGAGGATAGCAATTACTTGAACATTTCAAAACATCTAGTGGGGACAATTTTGAATGTTACCAACACAAAGCATAAATGTCTATGGTGATAGGCATGCCACACACTCTGATCTGATCATTGCACTACATGTGTGCATGTATATATAAATATATACACATGTGTGTGTATATATATACACATATATATGTTGAAACATCACACAGTGCCCTATAAATAAAATTCCTAGGTGTCAATTAAAACCAAAATATATATTTGAAACAGGAAAGCCCACATTTGAGGGTGA